TATCTTGTTAAATTTAATCCTCTTTGAAGTCATAGAAACTGAAATGACCCCAAATGACCTATTTTTATCAGGCAAGTTTCTAAACACCACTTCTAAGTGTAATGGTGAGGAGAGCAGAGGGTTAAATAGTACATTTAGAAACTTTTCAAGCTGGTGTTACTTAGGCAGCCAAGAGCATCTCCAGAGTGAACAATTTGAAAATTATCAGGCAAATGCACAGTTGGAACCCAGTAACCATCTGTTAAATGAACTGGCAAATGAATGAAGGCAAATCATACAAGCAATTTTTTTTTTTTTAGTGCTGGGGAAAAAAGGCAAAAATGTGTAATGTCTGATGAATCACAAAGAAAAATGTGACATTTTCTTTTCTTATGGAGGATCTATAATTTTAATCATCTTTTATTTGTAGGATGAGCTAAGTGAAAAATCTAGACTTTTAAATGGCAGTGGACATTTTATGTTTCTTCCTATAGTATTCAACAGCTAGCAGGGGCAGGAGAGAGAATACGGACTTTAAGAGCACAATTTCCCTTTGGAACACATGTAGCATTGATATCTGTATCCTGTTACATCTCAATGTGCACATGGATAATTCTTGGTGGCCCCAATAAATATTAGCATCTCTAAGTGAGAACTGGGAAGAGTTTAAGCATGTTACAACTATGGGGATTTCTGTGCATGTATGTGGATGTTACTAGGTGCAACCGATCTGTCTGTGTTGCTCTGATTTTTGAATGCTAGCCCAATAGACTATATTCCAAAACATAATGAGATGACAAAAATTAAGCTATCTGTAGCATGTTTTAATACAACGCCAAGAAAAATGAAGGATAGGGATAGGCCAAAGCTTATCTTTCCCATAATAGTTAAAACTGAAAACATATACCTGTACACAATTCTACAGCAACTCACTTCCAGAAAATAAGTTAAAGGTTTATTCACTTGAGGCCAAGTGCTGTTCAGTAATATGAAGAGCTCAGCTTAAAATGCCTATACGTTTAAGTTTTTCCGGAGCCTACATTAAAAACACGGACTTGTTATTAAAACCGAATATAGCAACCTACTTCTCACATACAAACTGCAGTAAATCTCTTCTTTCTAAACCTTCCAAGTATACTTGAACTGATGGCTATGTCTTGCAAATATTATATATAAGAAAATGGTTCCTTAGGGATAATATATTTTTCTGAATTTGAGTGTTAAGTTTGAGACATCTGCCCTGACAAATTTTCCAAAGTGGAAAAAACATGGCTTGGCCTACCTAGAGCTTTAACTACTTCAAACATTAGGCCAAGAGGAATCTTCCAATGTGAGTCACTGCTTTGCTCCTAGGAAGTACTTACAGACACTAGAGACCATGATAGCTTTAAAACAGGGTATGCTCATTTAATCTTTACTTAATAGTCAGTAAGTATAAAATTACTAATTTACTTTTACTAAATGTATTAACTAAATTATAATTCACTCTAACCAACCTTTATCAGTTTTACTTATTATAATATAACATATATCAATACTAAATTTGACAGTAAATTCAAAATAAACATACTCCTGTCATCTAAACTTTACATTTTATTGCAATCATGTCTAATATTTGAAAACAACCTGTAAGCATTTCTCAGTCAGAGAAAGCCTTTCCAAACAGTTTTGTGTTGCCAAGCACTGGAGAAGGGTGAGGTAAGGACAGCCATGGCCTTGGTAGTTGTATGAAAAGCACTGTGCGTGTGGTCAGAAGATTTAGGAGGCACACAAGGTATCAAAGTAAGTAAGAGATAATATAAGAGATGTGACCCTTCTATTTCATGATGGGACCTGACAGCTTTCTTCAGAAGGAAAATTTAAAAAATAACTAACGATGCTAGTAAGATTTAAGTTCTTCCCCTCACTTTTATAAATATGGTTTGTAGGAACATGTACCTGTTGGTTTCCCTTTCTTATATTAGACTCTATAGTGGCTAAATTTAATAGCATCAATATACCTGGCATCATTCTGTCATTTAAAAATTGGATAATCTATGTCAAAGTACAGTAAACCAATAATTCTTGGTCATAGTTAATGACCTTCTGTACTGAGAGCTGCCAGTGATAGCTGGGTAGTTTTCACATTTCAGTGCAATGCCCAGAAAACACTAGTGTGAAATATAGTCTCTCTGAACAATAAGGAACTCTGAATTTCATCTCTACCATAAAGTTGGGCACTAGCTAAAAGTGCTGTAATATGGACATACTCTCTGCCATGATACTGATTGCATTAAGGACCCAAGCCCTGACTTGACAACCTGATTGGATAGTACACTCTTCCTCTTTTCTGAGACATTTGTTCTGAAACATTTGAACAAACAGCAAGGTCTGGGAATTTAAAACTCCCTAGACAGATGGAAGCTTGCTAGCCATTTGTCTGCATTGTCTGGCTAAGCTGGTAAAGAAGGAAAGGTTACTGTTTTCCTTAAAGTCTCATGCTGCCAAAAAATCAACAGAGCAGAGTTTTTGAGAACACTGTAATTAATGGCAATGAAAACCAGTCACACTGTATTTGGAATAATTAACCTGAAGACCTGGTTAAAAAAGAATTTACATGTGTCTATAGGAAAACAGACTTAGTCTCCACTGAACAAATAAGACAGAGAGGTTTCAAAGACACACTTGATGCAGATATGGCTTCTCTATTTTGCTCTGATAGATGCAACTATTTTGAATTTGTTTCTACAAACTAAATCTTTTACACAGAAGGTGCCTGTTAGTCCATCTCCATATTAGTTTGCCTCTTTTGAAACAAAAAGATCCTAGACAAATAAGAATGAGAATTTGAACTTAAATAGTCTCCTTCCTGGTTGGCATGGGGGTGGGGCACTGAGGATATGGTGGGTAAGGTGAATGCTGGTTAGCCTTCGGTGCCCTTCCAATGTTCTCAAAGACAGGACAAAATGACTGGTTTTGGCATGCAGGGGCCAGCTTGCTCAGGAAATTGTAGCATGTATAAAACAAAGCATATAAACAAACTCTCTATCCAGGAAGCTGAGTTTAACAATTGCCTCATTAACAAGATCCAAGGAAGGACAGGAAAAGAGGAGGAAGCCAATAGCTGATTATTATACAGCTCTGGACAGATGAAGCCCTTCAGCTTTCCCCAAACAATCCCTGTAGTGTGGATTTGACAAAGTGGCACATTTAAGAGGGAACTCTCTTGCCATCAATGGGAGTCAGGCATACCCGTATCTGAGGGCCAAATGCAGTCCCTAGAACTTGACTTTATCAGTAGACACAAGACAGAGGACAAGGCAGCTACATCCACAGAGAATCAATTAAAAGCAAAAGCGACACCAGTGAATAGTCTGAACACTGATCTACATTTCAGCCACTGTTGCTTTCTCCCCTTCTATTTCTTATAAATTACCCATACTTAGGTGCTCTCACAAATACTACTTCAATAGAGATGTTTTCCTTGGTCTCACTGAAAGTACCTATTCCTCATATTGCACCATATAAAATATACCGTCAAAGACCAAAGTTCCAGTTTAAGTTTCTAAATGGTTGAAAGCTTTTTGGGTAGAACTTATCATGCATAATTTATTAGTTTGGCTTTCTCCTTGCACATCTCTCCAGTTTCACATGGGAGGTATGTTCAAATAAACCTGACTTCAGAACTGCTGAAGTCCACACCCAGATTTATCTGTACTGACTAGTTTTGTTCTACTGCCTTTTCAAATCGCCTCTCTGAACACACCATAAAAGCCTCTGGCTAATTTTCAGTGTTGCTTGTAAACACAAGTACTGGTTAAACGTAAACTTCCCAGGACTAGTAGACTTCTTATATATGTCTCAACCCCTCCTCTGCCCAACACACATACCCAAACCACATTGCACTTCCCTTTTTTGAAACCAATGAAATCAATCATATAATTTTTTATATTGCTTTCATTTCTGCTGGGCAATAATACAGGTCTCATTACCTTCAACTTTCAAAGGCTTACCAGAGACATCATTTTTCAAGACCAGGTTCTTGGTTAATTCCTTTAGCAAAGATTCTGATTTCTTCTTGCATCTGTACTTTGTATGAATTCCTCCTAAGCAGCACTGAGTCTAGAATAATTCATCAGTCTTCACTTTTGACTGGGTTTTCCTCTTCGCCCTAACTCAATAGCAGCCTTTATTGCTTATGGAAAATAGGAAATTCTGCCTCCTGGACACAAACATGTTCATTCTCTATGTCCAGGACCAAGAGGGTAAAAAGGGCAGATTTTACCAACATTTCCTTAAGAATGAAAGTCTGACTTCACACAAGTGGATTATTATCCACAGGTGTAATGCTTTGCTCATGAATCACATTTAAGGGGTCTTTGTGTAAACAATTTTGGATTCTCAGTGGGTCTCATTTTACAGATCTTACTTATATCACACTCCTTTTGAAATAGGTAAGAGTGTGATGTGAGTAAGCACCATAAAACCAGAGCCTAGTTTTCCTTCTGAACATAAATTCATTTATAAATAGTTATGATTTCAAAATTATTACCAACACAACCTCAGGAACATCTAAAATAGAACAATGCCATAATAAATGAAACATTGAAATGGAAAAAAAAAAACTGGTTTGCTCTGAAGAGGTTGATTTCTTCTTACCCAGAAACTAGCCAGCAGGCATAATTTAAAAAAATAATGATAAAATGTAAAAGTATTATTGACACAATGAGAGTATAGATTTTAGTGACCAAAAAAAGTTGATGAACTGTAGAAGCATATGCTACCCATGTTTTAGGCCCACTGGAAGCAGCTAGTGTTCAACCAGTTTGGTTTTTATATGGCCTTAAAGATATATGTCAACTATGATTAATAGTCTAAAAAAAAAAATTACCTGATTGTTGACCAAAAAATATGAAATGGAGAAAAAGAAAACAAACAAACATACCATGTTCACACACAAAACAAAGTAATTCTCTCAGGGACATCAGGGAAGGTGGAATACTATAACAACACATGTTATATTGTTATACTATTCCACCCACCTTAATGAGGAACCCTTGGGCGTTGCTACTCCATAGCCTTTCGAATCCAGATTTCCTCCCACTTTCATCGTGTCACAGGGCTTTCGCTGCTCAATGTATTCATTCATAGTGGACTCCAGGAGAAAGGCAAATTTGCCCTTGGATTTGCGGACACGAGCTACTCCCTCAGCTGTAGTCCTAGTGAAAACTGACGGCTCTGCGGATCGCATGTAGGTCCACATCTTTTCATACACTGCTATTTTTGATCTCTGGAGGAAATTGAAATAAAATTAAATACAGGAAAGAAGGGAACAACATGTTAATATTGACTGAACCAAGAGAAGGATAAAGTCTTTTAGTATTCTTCCTTGCCCTCTAATCCAATTTGCCATAACATTCTCATTTTCCAATCAGAAAACTACCATTTCACAATATGAAAGAAAAACACTGAAATGTCAGATAATTCACTGTGGTCTTTGAAGAAGCTGGTACCTCATGTCATAATAATTACTTTCTTCAAAGACTTAAAGAATAACTTATTGTTATTTGCAGACTATCATGAAAAATGCACACTACCATGAAAAGTTTCAAACACTTATAATTGTGCTTTATAAAATCACGTTCAAGACAAACTTGACATGGGCCAGTTAAGATTTCATTTCAGCTTTGCAAAATTCTTTTTGATATTGTACTTGAATAGCATCAAATAAGGAAAGTCATTACATTGTTTTATTTTTTATCTTTTTTCATGACCTATGTCATGAAAAGAAAACCTTAAACACAAAAGTTTGAAAGAAAACCTTAAACACAAAAGTTGTAGTATCTATCAAGTCAAAAATTGACACCAAAGGAGAAGAAATCAATGCTGTTTTGTTTACAAGCTAAGTATTCAGAACATAAGAATCAAACTCTAGGTTGACCAAAATTTTTTTACATACATTAAATTTTAAAGAGAAGTGATTCTAATTTTCCTCCTTTATATTTTGGAGAATTAGTCATTATATCCCCTGATTCCAGCCAAGAAACTTATTTATTTTTATTAATTTGGGCTCTACCTATATTACTCCCAATACTTATTTTACCTGGATACTTTTGCTGGTATCTGCATTCACATTATATTTTATTTTTATTTTCACATACATTTTAATATGAAAATATATCCAATGAACTCAAATGTCCTCAAAGGATATCCATCTATCTATCTGTTTATCTATCTATCTATTATAAGACAGAAAAACTCTCAGGTTTTCATCCTGTTTGATGTTTGATAGTATAATGATACATAGAGATTTTTATCTGGTGCATATGCATTTTTATCAATAACAGGTGCTGAGAATTTGCATTTGGATCCAAATGAAAACTAATGAAGATTGCATTCTGTTTTAAATCTATGCACAAATCCTGTATGGCATGTATATGCCATCTACAGTGACCATCCTGTGTTTACCAGAATATAGACTCCAACAGTTCTTCAAGAATAAACAAACATTCTGCATAACAAGGGCAACAATGCATGTTTTAGGGAAAAAGCAAATTATTCAGCATAAAGAAAATGACAGAAATGGTATTCAAAATTCTGGTTTCATAGATGGGAAACATAGATACTATTGAGTATCTAATTAAAACAACAGGGAACAGCTAAATACTAACATAACAATATGGAAAATGAGTATTTTTAAGGCTTGGTAATTATTAAGATAAATTAAGTGTAGAATGTAGCATAGTATCAAAGCAATGATTCCCATTTAAAGGAATAAAGCATCTCTAGGTCACTGATATTTTTTAGAAGTCCATTCCTATAATATTAATGTGTGGAAAATTATTGCTTCATTTGCTTAAATACTGTGGGTTGCATATACCTAAGTGCAAAAGAAGTTAAATTCATTCCTTTAAAATTCAGAAGAAAGAAGGATCCATTATGTAGTTGTGTTAAATCTAGCAGGCCTTCTGTAAATTACAAAATTATAAATACAGGCACCAGTGGAAATAGATGAAAAATGAAAGCAACGTCCTTGGGGCAAAAAAATTTATGCAGTTTGTCACCATATTAATATTTAGAAATTCTGGTTTGGGGGGGATGGCTAATCTATGATCATATCCACATGATGAAGGGGAAAGTGCTATTTAAGAGGTGAAGGACTGAAGATAACAGCCTTGCTCCTTAGTTGTGACCAAAAGAGGGTGACTGCTGAAGAAAGAGGGCAAGCACATTTTCATACATGAGACAGGCTAAAATAAAAAAATTCTGCAGGCCCAGCAAACTCATAAATATCATGATTAAGGATCTTGTAAGACCCTAAAGTCTTCAACTATGACATGAACTTAAAGATCAGGTTTGGGAAGTTAATATGCTCAAGATAATAAGCAAAGATAACATAAAAGTCTTTTTTTTTAATTAGAAAGTTAATCTCAGATTTAGTCTTATCTTTATAGTAATACTCAGTGCATGGGGAAAGCTACCTGATTTATTACTGAAAACAATTCTTGGAATTTTAGAAATGTGCCATCTTTTAAATTTCTCAAAAACTAGGAGTCTGGCATTTTGGCTTTTAACAGAAAATGTACACAAATGTCAAGCATTACAGTTAAATTTGCATTTTTATCAGATGGATTATTTTCCTCTTCCAGCAGATTCTACGGCAAGACTGATGTTCTTTCTAATAAGAGCTCATCAATGCACTATTTTATAATACTATAAACCCTGAGATTGTAATCATCTTCATTTATGCATTCATGATTTCACTGATGACTAGAACTGGCACAGGATAAAATCTGCACTGAAATTAAAATCAGTTTTTCAAACCAGGTGTATAATAATGTAAAAGCGCCTAAACAGTAAGACTGTCATTAAGTGACAAGCAGAGACTTTCATTAAAAGCCTCCAAGTTTATGCTTAACAAGGTGCACAGAACACGAAACATACCAAATTTCATAATGGGGCAAAACCAAGGCAACAGCTGAATTCAGATGTAATTTTCCCCTGTGGCCTAATTCTTTTTCCAGTTGATTATAAGTGCACTATTTTTTGAAGTGCTGAGCACAGGTCACTGCCTGAGGCAGTTGAGTGGCGCTGATAGATGTACCATTACTGTGTTCCTATGAGAAAACATTTTTGACAAGTACAAAAACACACTTCACGTTATGTTTCTTTAGCCCATCAGACAAATGGTTTATTTAAACCAGGTCATCATCTATAGGAGAAGAGGGAGAATTCAGGGTGGAAAAATGAATGAGATTTTTATCAAAGAACCAAAATTTGTGCCTGCCTAAAAGTGTGCTGCAAGGGAAATGCTCTTTTTGGTCCCATTAGGGTTCAGATCGTTTTGCAACAATAAATAGCTATACTTATAAAAATCTTTCAATTTTAAAACTGAAGCTGGGTAGGAGAGGAAGGGAACAGGACCAGCTGCCTGCACAGCTTGTAGAGGAGGTTCAGTAAATCCAGAAAGCAGCTTTTCTTATTCCTATATTTCTTATCAATACAGTCTCTTATCTGCCTCACCAGTTTTTAGAACTTGAGCAGTTTTTTAAACCTGTATAAAGATTAGAAATAAACATTTTCAGTGTGCTTGGATGTGAAAGGGCTTTACAGAGGGTTATTTTTTAAAAACTTTCAGGGAATCTACATGACATTTCTTTCTCCCTTTATCACTCAAGACAGAAAGATGAACCTGCAAATGTCAGTCATCATTTTCAGTCTAATGCAACTGATAGCACAAACTTGTATTTTGTTTTGAGGCATATCCAGAAACGTTTCTAGGCAAAGTTGCTAAATTTTATCTACTTACTTTTAGGTGGAAGCCATTATAAACTTCCAGATTTCCAGCAAGCTACTGAAATTATGCTAAAATATGTAAGAGCAGTATGTTTCTATTATGAAACTTTAGAGACAGAGATTCAGTGAGTAAATTAAAAAAATCTGGTTATTTAATTTATTGAAAGAATATTGTCAATGAAAACTATTGTCATGACTTTTTTAGCTTTAGAAAAATTTACAAATACTTTATAATTTATGAATTTAATGTTATGTATTATGGAAATGCTCCAAATTGTTGACAGAGACACTGTTCATTGTCTGATTTCTTTTTAAAATAATTCCCAGTATTCATTATTAATTACCTTGTTACATATTTGTGAAAATGCCACTCTGTTTAATTTTTTGGTTCTGAAGTCACAAAATGAAACCTTATTTCTGATAAGACATCACCAAGTATACGTGTGGATATAAGTAGAACCAGAGTTACTGATCACAAAAATTTATCCTCATAATGCACAAACTACTAATAAACAATCTCCCCTCCCCCAATCCATCATCCTGATTTTGAGTCAGAGGGATCATATCCATATGTGAAATGCAATTATGCCTGTTTAAAAATTTTATCTGCAACAACAGAGAAAACAGCATAAAAAAATACCAGATCTCCAGAGTTTAATACCCCTTGCTACTGTTATATTGTGAGAATGAAAATATGTTACTTTGAAATCCACTGTTATGGATAACATACCTCCTGAAGTAGTATAACTTGCAATTAAGATTTTGGGTTTCAAATGCAGCAAGTTAAATGTATTCATCAAAAAAAATCTTGCTTTTGTTTTTTATGCTCTCAGTCCCAAAGTATACATAAATCCAATCTCGTCAGACACAGTATCATCATAGCATTATTAACATTGGAATCTTTTGGACAAATTATGCTATAAATTGTACTATATACTAAATAGCACTTAATTACTATTTTGTTGTTACTTTTCCTTAGAGAGTGTCCATCATAGAATTTGAATAGAGCAATTAGCATTTGAAAATTAAAGTGATTATGAAATCCAAGTAGAGGTATTAGACTTAAATGTAGCCATTGCCATTGTGTTCACATAATATAATCTTTGACAAAATTGCAAAATGGCAAAATTGTATTTCAAATGAATGAACATTTCATTAACTTTTCTCTCAACTTACTCTGAAGAATTCTTTTGTTGACCCTGAATCCAGTGTTCCATAGGCAATTTCTGTTTGTTTGGCCAAGTCTTCTGCACTTTCTATGGGGGAGACCATTCGCTCAACCGTCAGGAAAGCAGCAAGATTAGCAGTGTAAGATGATATAATGATGAGTGTAAAGAACCACCAAACACCTCCAACGATTCGACCTGAGAGGGATCTAAACATGGATAAGATAATGTACATTTTCCTTTCTCTAACCAAAATAAAGAAGAGGTATAACATCAATTTACTATGAACAGTATTTCTGTATAATCTGATGTCATTTCTGCTAGACTGAATATTTAAATATTACTGAAAATATAGAATAAAAATTCTTTTTATTGTGCAGTTTGCAGAAGTGTGAAATTTACTACCTTTCCTTTGGGTACAGAAGGGGAATATTTACATAAATTCATTGATAACACTCCTCATTATTTAGTTTCTCAATTAGTATGTAGCCTATGGTTGGCAACAGAAAACATAGCAGCACATTTAATTGGCAGGACTGTTTCTTAGTGACACATAAAATAACAATATATCTTAATGGGTAGAGTCTTAGGTTTGACGTAAATTGGTGAAAGCACTTGTTTCCACCTTCAGTCAGTCCTGCCAAGGTGAACGGATCACATATGCCAAAGTGGGTTGCACCAGATTGAAAGTCTAGGATTGGCCTCACAGTGCCAATGATTGAAAATGTTTTTGTTTGATGTTCCATTTCTGATCTGAGTGGATGAGCTATATCATAAAGCATCATCACATACTGATATAACAAAGTGCTCTCTTCACCCTTTCTCTGGCTATCATGGATGTGTGGATGGGTATGTGCATAGGAAAAGTGGGAAAAGTGAATAAAAATTCGGTGCAGGGCCTCCCTGGTGGCACAACGGGTTGAGTGCAGCACTATGAAGTTGTCTGCAGCCTCTGCAACACGGGTTCGATTCCCAGCCGGCCAGGGAGATGCCCACATGGTGCAGCAGACCTCTCCTGTCTCGCCCGCTGCTCCCCTCAGCAGTGTATTTCAGTCAGTCTGCCTGTTCTGTTCCCTGTTCTGTCTCTGGTGAATCCTCTCACCCTCCCACGCCTCTGGCATGCACCCCGGTTCTTGTATAAATAAATAAAAAATCTTTTAAAAAATTCAGGGCATATTCATAATTAATTGGAACCATCAAACTATTTAGAATTCTTGTGACAAACTGGTTTTTGAACACTTTTTTTGGTGAGGAAAAGTTTCATATTTTCTGTGGCATTTCTATAATTCTCTAAAATGCTCCCATTTAACCATTTTATGTAAGTGGTACCTGTTGGTTTTAACCTAGTATTAGCTTAATCCTAATTTAAAAAAGGACTACTTGATTTGAGTTTTTTTCCATTAATTAAAAGTTATTGATTCAAATGCCTATGTTTGGGGAATTTATGCACACATTCATAGTTTTCCTGGTTCTAAGGAACACAAACTACATTGTATCCAAGTTTGTTTTTTTTTTTTTTTTGAGAAAACATGCATTTTTAAAGCTTCCAGATATGTATTTGTGATGCTATTATAAATGACTATTTAGAGTCAATTCTTAGCCTCTCCTACCATCAGCTACTTTTTTTTTATGGGAGATGGTTGCATTTTTGCAAAAGTAACTGAATAATGTCTTAGTGGCATCCAAAGAAAGTGAACCATGACTCCACAGATATTGAAAATAAGCTCTGCTAATTAGCATTGTGTTTACATTGTTTACTTTCTGTCTCCTGCTCAGCTCGTTCCCGTACTGTTACACAAAATGACATAAATCTGATACATATTATGTATATTTTATATTGACTCAGGTTTTAGATACCTTTGTAGGGATTTCTTAAGCTGCATGGGATATAAATCAAGTTCAACATTAATTTTTGACAATAAACATCAGCAACAATAACAAAACATTTGAATTTGAAAAGGGAAAAAGAATTTGAATTTGAATAGGGAAAAGGAAGACAAAAATGAAAATACATTTGTATTCTTACAACTAGGATTTTACTTTCCATCTGTCAAATCAATGGAAGAAGTTTTAATACAAAAGTGATTTCTGAGAGTTCCAATGAGACAAATACATTACCTTTCTATTGAAAAGTTTATTTTCCTAAGGCATCCACATTTTTGTGCTAAGTTGGAAAAATTGGCTCTATTTTTATTAGATGAATTTGGGAACAGCATTTTTTCTATGCTTCAAGCATCAGTCTATCTTCAAGAAATTAGCACATAGATCTTGTTCTACAAAACACTTAGAGGGGCCTCCCTGATGGTGCAAGGGGTTAAGATGCAACCTATGAAACTACCCACAGTCACTGCAGCACAAGTTCCATCCCCAGTCAGGCACAGCAGACCATCCCCACATGGCACAGCAGACCTCTCCTGACTCGCCTGCTGCTCCCCTCAGCAGTATACTTCAGTCAATCTGCCTGTTTTGTTCCCCACTCTGTCTCTGGTGAATCCTCTCACCCCCCACACCTCCAGCATGTACCCCAGTTCTTGTATGCATAAATAAATAAATCTTAAAAACAAACAAACAAGCAAACAAACAAATATACAAAAACAGAGTTGCTGGGAAATTGAAGATGAATTTCGGAGTTTTGAAACTAACCTGGGTGAAATGTCACATCCTTGCTGCATAAAAGCACCCAGGGAAAACCAAAGGCTGTTAAAGATGCCAAACTCATTGGGAGGCTGGTCGCTGGGTCCTTCCTTTCCATCCTCTGGCTCTTCTGTGTGCCACTCATATGGACTAAACCTACTCACTAGGAATAAGACCACGCTGACACCAATGTAGGCAAAGACTATGCACATCCAAATCTCATAGGCTAGAGGATCCAAGAAGGAAAACACTCCTGGTTTAGATTTCTGAGGCTTTTTGATCATGATAGATATGCCCAAACTCATGAAGGGTTTAGAGAAGTCAATGACCTCCTCTCGGACCAAAGTGATTGTCAGAGGGGCAATAGCAATCTCTGCTTTCTATAAGAGAAAAGACACATGAAAACACAATGGTTAATGATTCCATGAAGCATTGAACACTGGATTGATCAATTCAAAGCATTCATTATATACTTTTTTTTTTCTTTGTGGAATGCCAATCTTGAATAAGGCCGGTGGTAAATAAAAAGAATAGTAGACTCATTTTTTTAGGTATCACTTACATTGTACAAAAGATACTTGTGCTTGCAGATAAGATGAAGAAAAATAGAGAAAGAATAATTAATCATAAACAAAATTAGCTTGAACTCAAATAAATGCATTAGTTCTGGGACAGCAAAGAGAAGGAGACTTAATAGTCCTCCTATATGGTTGAATTTCTGAATTTCTTGGCCAGGAATGTTGCTGTGCTACAGCCTTTTCTGTTTCATTTGGAATGTTGCCACTGATTAATTCCTTGGCCATCCCTTAATATTATGAATTGCAAATTTCAAGCAGTTCTTTCTTTTTTCTTTCTTTCCATGTAGCACTGATGACATGAGAAAACCTATCGTAAAGTCTGTTTGTAAGATAGAGGAAGCATTTTGTTTGACAACATTTTCCAATTCAGCACACACACAAGTCTGGAAATTGTCCTTTATTTCTTCTTAGTCACATACTTTGTTTTTACTTTCAATTTCTAAAAAAGATTTTATTAACAGTGGATATAATTCTCAGATATTATGATCACAAGATAACAGATTCCATTTTTGTTCTGTGATTCTGGAACAATTTTTCTGAGCCTGTTGCAATATTCTCTAAAATGAAGGTATTTTCTTTCCTGTTTGCCTCATTGTTTTATTGTAATTTCTAATTTTGAAAACCTTAATAAAATAATAGTGAATATTTATTGAGGGATGGAAACCAGTGCTTCTCCCACTAATTCATGCCACCTCTAAAATCAAATGGAATCAAATGTGGTAAAAATGGTAAACTGTTACATGCTCTATAAATAAAAAATGTTTTTTGGATGATCTATTTTTTTCACATCACTATTTTACCTTTTTAAAGCTATGTTATTTTTTATTTTACTATTTTTTAATTATTATTTTAAAAATTTTTTACATCGTGTTCATTTTTAAACAATATTTGCTTCTCCCCACCCCCTCAGGTGTAGTCCCCATAGAGTTTCCTTCACCAGTGCACCTGTGCACCCTCACCTCAGTCCCCTGTGCTCCTCCCTTTCTCCCTCTGATCCCTCTCCCTCCTCCTCCCCTGTATGTCTCTGATTTATGATTATCTGTTTTTGCTTTGTTATCTTTTGTAGTTATTATTTATTTATACCGATGTCTTATTTGGTTGCACCTGTACCCCTATGTTTATTGCAGCACTATTTACAATAGGCAAAACCTGGAAACAACCCAAATGCCCCAAAATAGATGACTGGATCAAGAAGATGTGGCATATATGCACAATGGAATATTATTCAGCAATCAAAAAAGATAAACTCATGCCATATGCAGTAACGTGGATGGAACTAGAAGGAATTTTGCTCAGTGAAATAAGCCAGAAGGAAAAAGAAAAATATTGGACAGTTTCACTTATAGCAGTAATATAGGGGAACCAAATAAGACATCAGGATTGACTATTTTAAAAGGAAAATATCTGGTATTAAAATGGAATCTGCAATAGACTCTGAATGCAGGTTCTTACACAGAAGTTGTTGCTCTCACATCGACTCCTATAAATTCTCCAGTCTCTGGCTGTATAAGATGACAGGATATTGGGTACCAAGGCACCTGCCGGGAGGGTGCGCTAGTTGTCATGCCACCACTGGGTCACAGAGGATGAACAGTGTATGCCTTCACATGGGAATTAATTTAGTCCACATCATGAATGCCCACATATACCAAAGCCAGAATCATTGCTGGGAGCTTATTATTGTCATCAGAGTTAATTTTTGATATAGGAACTAGCTTCAGAATAATGAGTATATTAAAAACTGAATGAGAAAATCAGGAAAATCTATTTTCATTCCCTTCAATTACTCTTTTATTTCTATATGCCCAACTAGACTGCTTAGTAGACAATATATTTAAATTTTAAAGTGGGAAAATGCAGATTGTTCAATAATTCCTTTTCACAAGAGTATCCTGAACATTTTCATTTCACCATATATGCTAAAAATGTTTGAATGATTGTACATATTTTATTATGTGAAAATGTTAAAATGAACTCAATCAAGTTGTTTGGAGGATGTTTACATTGCTTCAGGTTGTATTCTATTATAACACTGATGATATGAACATTTATGAAGACAAATCTTCACACAGATCCTAATTATTTAATTATCTAGAAATAGGATGTTGGTCTATGGGAACACTTTCCTAACACTCATGATATGTTTTGTCCAACTTTTCTCCAGGAAAGATCATGCAAGCTTCCAATGTCACCAGCACTGAGTGAAAGCACCTGCAGATTTTAATGCTGCATACTGCTTTCTCATCTTTATTCTTGTTTATCTTGACCAGTTCTCAACATGGTTAACTGGATCTCATTGTATTAACTTGGAGTTAGTTTTTATAAAACAAGTAGTATCTTGTACTTCTTTATATGTGTTACCTGTCATAATCTGCCTCTATTTTCCATACAGAATATTCATTATTTACTTAATAATTTTAAGCACTTTTAAATGTATTAAAATGTTAACTGTTTCCATGTACATCACATATATTTTCCTTAGTCATCATGGTTTTGTTCATATAACTTAGTTCAGGGCATTTTATTGTAATGCATGTGTTTTACATTTTGTTGTAGTCTTATAAAACTATCTTTTTGCATTTTTGGTCTTTGGTTTCATGCTTAAAAAATTCGTCATCTGTCACAGATGAATCTCAGTCACATATATTTTATTTTATTATCTATATTACCTCTATAATTTATTGGGTATATGACATGATAATGTGCTAAATTTGTTAAATTTGTTAATAATTTGTTAAATTTTTGAGGGAGTTCTCCTGCTAACCTCACAAGAATAAATAATGCATCCTTCTAAGTTTTCTGATTTTATATTTTTAGTGAGGTAATGTTTCACAACACTGTATATGGTTAAAGGGTACAGGTTCACACCTCAGATACATACTGCCTTACTACACATACCATCAATGCCTGGTCCCACTGGGTTCTCTTCCCTTCTGGCCCCTTCACCCACCTTTCTCCCTCCCCTTTTGGTAAACTCAATTCTGCAGTCAGAGTTCTAGGATTTGTTCTGTTTCACTCTGTCTCTTCCTTTGGTTTGTTTCTTTATATTTCACATGTGAGAGAAATTATTCAGTATTTGTCTTTCTCATCCTGATTTATTTTGCTTAACATAATCCCTTCCAGTTCCATGCATGTTATTGCAAATGGCATGATTTCATCCTTTTTATTAATAGTTGAGTAATATTCCATATATACGTCTTCTTAACCCATTCATCTATAATTGGGCACTCAGGTTTCCATAGCTTGCCTATTGTAAAAATAGTGCTGTAATGAACACAAGCACACACATATTCCTTCAAATTAGTCTCTTTTCATTTTTCTGGCAGATACCTAGAAGTGAAATTGCTGGGTTATATGGTAGATCTATTTTAAATATTTTGAGAAACCTTTGCTGTATCTCAAACATCATGGTTTTCAAAACATTAAAAAGGTTTTCCATAGGAGTTGGACCAGTCTATAATCCAGCCAACAATGTATGAAGCAAATCTGTAGAAATTGTCACACCTGGAAGAAGATTCCTTCTGAGAAAAAAAGTAGATAACTCAAGTGTCAGAGATCAGGGTATTTAAACTCTTGCAAACTGGCTGATGACTATAATGAATACTAAGAACACTGTAGTGTCTTCTTCTCTGAGAACTGCATGTTTCTATTATTATGATGTGTACTACTGATATCTATGTATCTTGCTAATTATGTTACTCTCTTCATATCACTTGTTTTCATTAAATAATAACCTCTCCCCACTAATAACACATGGTCAGAGCAAAGGGGTGAGCCTGGGTTGTTCAATGCTTAGGAACTCCAAAAACAGAGATATATAACAAATGCCTTAGAAAGTAACTCAAGTTAGTTACTACAATTAGTTAACTAATTGTCAATATAAGTATGAATTTGGAGATGAAATACTCAGTGTTATTTTCTGAATGAAATGAACTATAGTCATTCCATCTACTTGGAAGAAGAATATTATTTTTTCATGGCCTGGAAAGCAGGACACAGAATCACCAAACTGTTGAACTGCCATTCTGTCTGAGACGTCAGTCTAAATTTTCCTGCCACTATTGTTTTCTGAGGAAAGATAATGCTTGTATTCCTTCATTTTACAGTGGTCTTGTGAAGATTAAGCAGACAGCATATGCTTTGAAGGTAAAAATTGTGAAATACGAATCAGTTTATAGAAAATTTCAGAGTACATTTCAAGTGCATGTGGCTTTTATGGATTACTTCTTGAAGAAAGCTTACCATGTGCTGTAAGTTTGGTTTGTGGGCATTGAAAATAATATTCCACTTACAGCATTTGATAAGTGGAGATTTGATTTTGACACTTTGTAGTGGAGGGTGAAGATACTCATCATGTTTTGATTCAGGCAGGAATGTCCACATTGAATTTGCTCTTGGCTATGGATGCGTACACTAAATAACTAGTGAACTCAATGGAAAGACCATGGCATGCTTTCATGTGATGCCTGCTATGGAATGAATTCCAGCTTTTGTGGTTTCCTATGTATGCTAGCATGAAAAAATTGATGGCAATATATAAAGTTTAAAAGTGCCATGTTCAGCAGAATTCCAAGACTCACATTACTGATGAATATGTTATGGATGCTAAGGCGGTTTAGTGTTTGCTTCCCCAATTACTTAAACAATATTTTTGAGTAATTATAATCAATGGGGAAATAAAGAACTAGCTAAAACAATGTCAAACTTTATGCTATTGAAGATGATCTGTTCCAACCATTAACAAATAACATTACCGATGGATTGGTTTTTTAGTTCTGGAAAATACCATGCCTGTGTATAGCACATAGAACAAACAGGACATCACCATATTCCTAAGCTTTTAATCTCTTTCCTGCTTTGAAGTTATTGAGGATCAGTTTCTCTCTTTATTTGCAACTGTGTTATTAATGAAATAGAAAAACATTTAAACACTGTATATGCCTCTTGGAATCTAATTGCACATTTAAACAGTAATAGACCTTAGAAAATTGGTATGTGCCAGGTGAAAATAAGTTTCAGGCTTATGTAGGTAAATTCTTCAATAAATGAATTTGCTTACCCCATAAACAAGTTCTCCTACCATCCCATTCCAGATTTTTGTGTCTGCATCCCTTGCTCCATATTTTCCATCAGGGACAATGGCAATTTTATACTTGATACCAATATGTTTTGCAATTTCAGATGCCAAATCTACACAGTATCCTTCATACTTGTCATTTCCTTCAAACATTTCATGATTTTTCTTGTACATAACATATGGGGATTCCTATAATGAGAGAAGTAGAACTGTAAAGGAGAAATTATAAAACATTCAAAATCTTTACGTAATTTTTCAGTTTCAGAATTTGACAAAAAGATCATCTTTAGTATCATTATACACACTGATTTTGTGTGGCTAGGAATCATTAGTAAAACAGATGAATATATAAATATGCTTCAAACTCTATTAGACCTCCTTCCATTGGATGCTAAGTGAAATCTTTACAATAACTTTCTATTGAGAGATTATTACATAACTAACGCTGTGATTGTGATAGAAAAAAATGAAAAAAAGTCCCATTAACAATTGTCTCAAAAAGCATTCATTATTCTTGGCCATGAAATTATTATTTCTAAAATATCTCATGATATTAAAGGTTATGTAGGAGTCAATTTCATATAATAAAAGGCAGATTCAAGGTCACAGGTCTCCATATCTGATTCTTTCAACTCTGCATCTTTGGAGTATTCAAGTATTACCTTCTTTAAGGAAAGAGCTAGATCATTTTTCTTTGCTCTCTAGTGTTTAGCCAGACGCCTTTCTCAAAGCAGGTGCTTGTTAGTTCAAAGAAGAAATACATTAACAGTTTTAAAATTTATATACTTATTTGCATTAAATTTGCTTTCCTAAAATTGCCTAGTATTTTGGTTTTAAGTAGGGCTATGCTCCATACATTTTATTCTCTTTTAAAATAATCCCCAATGGTAGCTAATGATTTCCCCTTAATTGTGACAGTTGCAAACTTCCAATTGATATTCTTACTTAGTTTTTGAAGCAAGTTTTTGAAGGATGAAGAATTGTTGTGAAAATTCTTATAAAATGAAAAAGTTTACTGGTGGCTAATACCTGGACAATTTTCAGTACACACATACACACACACACACACACACACACACACACACACACCCCTAAGCCAAATCATTTAAAGGCCATAATCTAAAGAGATAAATTCACAGAAAAGCACTTGATTTTTAAATGGAACCAGAAGCCACCACTTAAAAGATAGGGCTGGTGAACACAAAACATGTATTCTGATTTTTAATTATTTTCAGAGAAATAGTAATACCTTTGGCTATGACATTATGGGGATCATGTGTTTGTATACTAAAATTGTACCATAACATTAATTCAGTAACCATTTAGAAGCTTCTCTTTTCCCTTAGCAAATTTATAATTTGGGAATTGAATATATGCCTAGAACTTTGGATTAGAAGGTAATTTATAAAACATGGCAGTCTGCATTAATTTGGATTTATTTTAATATAGGAACTATTTTTACAACCTTAATAAAGTTTAATGACAATTGAATTTCCCATAAGTAAACTTTAAATATTATATAGGCACAATTGTCCAGGATTGGTCCAGGATTGGGTGTATTGTATTCTTACATCCTACCATAAGTTAACATGGTCAAGTGACCCAGAACTCTCTCACTTCATTGAATTTGATGAGTAACCCTAGACTTGGGCAAAGAAAGTTTCTCCACCTATAGAGTGAAGATAACTGTCCCTTTTTTAAATAGATGAAATTAGGTCACTAAAATATTCTCCAACTATAAAGCGTTTTGAAATTATTAATATGGTAATGAAAATTAGCAAGTTGCTGTAAAGCACTGTTAATTTCTAAGATATACTATAAAATATTAGCAGCTATAATAAGCCAATCCTTTCATTTTCTCTCCTGTTTTCTTAGAATAGCTAGTTAAAATATGGACTAATATGTAGAAGAGAGCAAGAATGACATATTTATAAAATGCCTATCTTTCTAATTGAAATGGCTATATGGTTACCATCTATAACTGTAAGCATAACAAGTTTAAAAATTTTTCAAAAGTGGTAGAGCTAGGGCTCACCTTTGGTCCTGAGATTGAAGATCAATTCTAAAATGTCTGGAATATTTGAACACATGTATTTTAGCCCCCAAGTAACCCTATTAGCTTATGTATAAGAGTTTCTATTGCTAATATTATCATCTAATTTGATAAATCCCCTCTACACTGTTATTTAATCAAACATTTATTAAGCATCCAGTGTGTACCACACTGTTTGCTAGGAACTAGGGGTTATACAAGTGTCAGGTACAATGCTAAGTCCTTTCATTGTGTCATTTCATTCACTTTTCACACTGACATTTTGAAGTAGGCATTTCCTACTGAAGGCTCAGGGAGGTTAAGCAAATTGTTCAATTTCAGAGAACTAGCAGAAGTGAGAGCTGAACCTTATTTTGAAATATTTAGAGATTTTTTTGAGGCTACTTTTGTTTCTATCAAAATTGCACTATTGAAGATTCAATATGATTTATTAAGAAACATTACAAGACTAAAGTTAAGTTTCTGTATTTTCAGTGAAAAAACTTCACATGAAATCTTGAGTAAACAATGTAGATAAAGTTTTTCCAAGATCCTCCATAAATAGAAAGATTTTCTGGTCTATCAGTGCTTCCTAAATAGGAATATCACTGCAAAGTAATTATGTTAGCATTTCTGATTGAGGTCTTTAGTAGGAATGTTATTAACAAGTTCCAGTTCTCGCTTTTGAGAATACATGATTATGTATAGATGAGTAAAGAATGTATTTAGTGTCTTTTTCATTTTTTTTCAATTGCTTTTTTGGATAGCAGGGATCCACTTGGTCTTCCTGTTCCTGTCAAACAAATCAACAAAGCTAGACAACTTCATCTTACTGAAGATGTTGATTAGAGATTTAGCTGACTTTAGCATAACTAGTGGCAAAACACAATTGTTGAGATTGAGATGATTGGTGTCTGAGGCAGAAAAGAAATAAGAGGATCACACTCAAGGAGGTGGAGCATCAAAGCATCATGGTTGCTCACTTCTACCTTGAGTGCTTCTTTCTTTGTTTTCCTTTCAGGTCAAATACAAATGAGTAGTGAGTCCTCAACTCTTCCATCTTCCTCATTTGCCCCATCTTCAACCTGATAATTTGTTCATAGGGAATTCCTCAAACACTGTGCACTCGGGCAGATTTAACAGTTTTGTTTATTTTTTTGAGGCCACTAGAAGCAAAGAAAAGACCAAGTGTTTTCTACATATAGGTTCTATATCTGCTGCACTATTTTAGGAAAAAAATACATGAAGGCTTCCTTATGAAATTGTTAGTGTGAATGAATTAAGATGATTTTCAATCAATAAAGTATAGTTTTTCTGCTGAGAAAACTTTTTTTGGATTATTCACATTTAGGAAAATGAAGCTGTTAAAACAAGATACTTGTTAGACTTTAAGATTTTCCAAATATCACAAACATAATTATTAAAATTACAGTTGAGAAAGAAAATAAAGTAAGTAGTATCAACCAAAGTTATTTGTTATATAGATATTAGCTTTACTTCAGTGAATCTTAATGTTTGTAGATAATTTATTCCATGGATAAAATTCTTTAAAGTACAAATTAAAATGTTATTGATTCAGAAAAAAATAGTAAGTTTAATAACAGTGTGATATTAATTTATTCCAAATAACTTATTTAAGAATTAATGGAGTTATCAGCCCTTTGGAGGGAGATCTATGACTGGAAGGATTTAATATTTGGTTGAAGGAAGAAAATAAATATATCTTCATTTTCTCTCTATATATTTACATATACATTATACATGTTACATATATATATGGATATGTATGTCATTGTATATGCACATGAATTATGCATTGTATATCTACAAATGCTATATAGAGAAGATAAAATATCAAACATCTCATAGAAAGTTATAAAAGTAACCTTGGGAAAGATCAAGTGTGGTAAGTACAATTGGTTTTAAGTTTGTAACATAATTCTGACATTGTACCAGGAAAATATGGATTTACAGAAAAATTTTTTCAAGGATTGTTATGTGTACAGGATGGTAAGAAATAGTTTCTTAGTTGAGTAGTGAAACATTAGCATCATGTAACTTCTTTAGTAAGTATTTGACAAAATGACTTGACTGAAAATCACTGCATTATCACTTTTTCCCAGAGCGTTCAGCAAAGAATCTAGCGAGTTTACAAAGGAAAACAACACCTTCACTTCTACCTAAGGTCTATAGCAAACTACCTTTTCTTCAACTGTTTCACTTTTTCAAACCACATGGCACAGATGTGGCTTCCTTAGGTTGTTTAAGAAAACTAGTATTTTGAAGGCAAAAAATTAAATTGCCATGATCACTCTTATAAATTTTATAGATTTTATAAAGCCACTAGACTTCAAAGATGAAAAATGATGAGTATATGAATCTAAAACATTAGACCTTTCAATTTTGTAGTCGTGACTACAGTCCTGTGGTGATGATATTGTCAATTCTACTTTTTATTTAGATTCAGCTAAGTTAAATTTAGCATGACTATATTCAAATAGAATAAATCTGTTACTAAGATGAAGATTGAATTATAGGTAGACAAAACACTATTATAAGAAAAAATAAATTTCAATAGTGCAAAGTTAGTCACATTTTATTTAAGAATGATAGCTACATCTACACTTATTATGTTTCTTGTCTGTTTCTCTCACTAGAATCTAAGTTTGATTGAGTGCAGGATTTTTGTCTGTTTTGTTCTCTGACATATCCCCAGGGCTTATATCTGTGCCTAGCAGATAGCAGACGCTTAATAAATATTTATGAATGAATAAATGAATTTCTCAATCAATTTTATTTAATAATAGCATATATCATTACAGTGTATCAACATATAAATAACAACATACACAAAGGAAAGACAAATGGGGAAACAAGCAAGGCCATATCAATTTCAATCAGAATGAATGACTTCAGGGCTGCAACACTCAGCCTTCTGTTATGTAGATGTCTATCTTGCACATGGTAACAATGTCTAGTCAGTTCCATCTGTGTGAGGAGTTTTCAATTAAATTTGGGGATTATTACACACAGGTGCAAATGTCTCATTCATTGAAAGGAATCAAGGTTTTCTCAGAATGAATGAGATGGTGGAGATGCCATAGGTCCCAGGTTACCATTTTCAAAAAAAGCAAATACAAAGAACAATTTCAGAGAAAGGTTTCTAGTTTATCTTTTTGAATTATTGAATGATTATGCAGTTGCAAAGAACAGAGGTATTATTTATCTGAAGATAACATATTCATACAAAAGGACAGATACTAGTAATACACTATGTTGATAGCAAAAATATTGATGATATCACCATCAAACAACAGATAACATTACAGAATATTCTTTATCTAGGAAACAGTTGGATTTTTCCATCATTTTAACTTATTTGTTTTTTGATAGCATGCTCCCTGAAAACTAGACATGCTTGCAAAATTTATTCAGCATTTTGGTTTTAAGAGTTATATCTCCAACCCCTTTAATTACAGGGGTGGAAAGGAGAGTCTATACATACTATCTATAATGTACATTAAAACACTTTATTTCACAGTGAACAGGCAAAATTTGGAAAAATAAACTTTAAAGAAAACAACTGTTTATATCAGAAATCAAACACACAAATTCATGGATATTTACTTCTAGAAAATCTATCCTTATAATTAAGAGTGATATATAATTTCATCATTTATGTACAATGACCTCATTTCAAGATACGGGAGTTAATGTAAGAATCACTAAGTGATTCTTTTTCAACAAGTATTTATTTTGAGAAAGATGAGGTTTATTTCTTCTTTGTTCTAATATCTCAGAAAAGTCACAGAACTTAAAATTTTTTTTCTGGTAGTCCAGAGTTTGGTGATCCAGGAAGAATCCCACATCAAAATTAGCTTAAATTTACTACCCCGTAGAACGAGACTCGCGCCTTAGTTAGGAATGGTCGAACCGCGTGGAACTCATTTCTTTCTTGATCAATTTCTTAAAATAGGATTCTTCATCAGAGGCTGAAAAGAGGAGGACTGTACTGAAGTATGACTTTCCATTACTGTGTCTTTTTTAGGAAAAGAAATATATATATTGCTTTTCAAGTCCCATGCAAATATTACAAAATTAAGTTGGAAGGTATGTATATTTTCATTCTTACATAGAACTGCTGTTGGCTGGTTTGCATTCTAAAATCATAAAGTTCTGATCAAGGTTTGGCAGATTAACATTAAATTGCTAGCTGGTGATGCAACACAGATAAAATGAATTGCAATATATGGAAGTTTCGCTCTGGCATTTTCATACTTTGATTTTAATGTTAATTTTGAGAATAATTTGACATTACCAAAAACCTAAAACTAAAATTACACAAGCTAAAAACTCAGTTACATAAAATACTTCCATTTTATTTAGAGTAAGGGCATCATAAATAATTAAAAATATGTTCTGCCTAATGAGACAGTGAGCTGAGGATAAATAACTTTAAATTAGATAGAAAAGGTCACCGATTGTTGATCTCCTTGACTAGAATTAACTCTAAAGGGCATGTTTGACTTTACAAGAGAAAAATATATAAGGTATCCTATCATTTGAAAGGCAATTTTATGAGAATCTCTTTGGAAAAGCAGCACTAAAATTTAGAGTATTTTTCATTTTGTGATGTGACTGAAAAAAGCAATCAGATTTTTCTTAGTTCTTAGGAGAAATCCAATAAAATACATTATGTATTTGTCACTGGTCAGAGAGAAAAACAATCGGTGCACAAAACCCTTTTCTCATTAAATATAGATTTAAAAGTTCCTTTCTAAAGCGTTCAGTTGCATAAAACATGCTCATTAAATTCTTCACATTCATAGCTTCACTATTATGGACAGACAATACAAAATAATTATCCAGTGATTAAACTACCTGAAAATTATAATTTTAAACATTATTACATTGATGTTTTAAAAAGCAGAACAATAATAGTATGGGGTTTACTACTAGATATTTTTATGAGATTGGTTGTCGAATTTTTTCATGTTCACCATTTTATCCTTCAGAGTCTTAGCATTTCATACATTTCATACAACTAGAATATGACAGTCTCTATTTTTCCAATCTGAACATTTTTCCAAGAATAACAAGGCAACAAAAATAATACAAATAGAAGCATTCAGGACAAACCTATTCAAAGCCTCCACAACACACACATCACCATGCTAAGTGGAGGATATTACCTCCCAGTCACCTAGCTGGGGAATTAAAATTGCCTGTGAACAAAACGGAAAAACATAAAGCATAGACCAAAACTTACCATAATTGTGGTTACAACCACTGTTCTATTCTCAATAGCTGCTGTGTCATTGCCAAGAGTGGGTACATCTTGAATCAGAACCAATTTATCCATGTCATTCCAATAACCAACCTACCAAACAGAGAAAATCATTGAAAACACGTTTTAGAAGCATTTCCTATAGTTCTTATTGGAACAAAGAGGGATATAAAAGTGTCTGGAAATTCTCTTAATTGAGGATGAGCCAGTTTTCCTTATATTTACCATACTGCCTGGTTACACATATGGCAATTATACAATTTACGATCACAGAGCAGTCAAAAGACATCGGGAATGTGTCATTTAAAAGTGAATATAAATACATATAGAATATCATTTTATGTTGGTTCTTTGATTCTTTCTCCTGATGGACTGACTGGCATCCTCTTAAATTTCTTTATGTGATTTTTTCAGTAACTTTACAGGTCATAGGGTAAAATGAGGAGGGAGATTTACAAAAGGGATATGGAAGAGCTATTTTCAAATAACAAGACTTGTAAAGGAATATCGAAATCATTTTTGGATTAACCACTAGGTACCAATCTTACCATTTCCAAAAGGCTAAATGCATCAGAGATGAGTATTAATGAATGATATTTTCCCTTTCAAACATTTAAATTTGTGTTTTTATTTTGAAAACCTCACATTACATTCTCATTTAGAAAAACAACAAACACTGTTCCATAAAAGATATTAAGTAATTGGTTAAGCTATTTACAAAGTAGTAAAGTCCAAGGAGGTCCTTTTGTCCCTTAGTTTCTTTGTCTATGCAGACCATTAAGTGATAGTAATGACTACTATTACCATTGACTGCTGTCTCTGTGGCAAACACAATATGTGATGTTTTTTCGTGCACTTTGGTTTATACACAGAGGTAGGTACTATTATCTTGCTTAATTGAGAATTGAGTACTCACATTAAGAAGTTAAATAAATTATGCAAGGTTATACTTTAGTGGGGCCAGTACTCAAAACTCATGTCCATACGACAGCAAGTCTATTTACGTTACTGTTATGTTACACAGCTTCCCAAATAGTTGTTGATGTAAAACTTGCCAAACTTCTTTCTTGAGTTTCTGGATGTAATTGCCAAAATGTGTTTGTGAAAAACAAACAAGCAAACCCACAACATGTGTAATTGCTCTCTGTTAGGTATTCACTACTTGTTGTAATTTGTTTTGGAAGTCCTTTTTACTCCCTCCAAGTTTCTTCACTATTATATTAATATTTGTGAACATACTGAAATAAAGTAAGTATTAACATATCAGAAAGAAGCACTGTATTATTTACAAATGTTGCATATCTAATTCGATAACAGATGAGGAAAATTATTTTCATTAATTTAACTCACTATACTGGTTTGATCTGAAATTATGAGTATCAACTCAGCAATTATTTTCAATTGTCCATGAGAATCTACTTATAGCTATTTAATAATTCAGTAAAGAGTCTCTCTGGTGGCAGTGGGGTTGAGGACAAAGCATTATCAACCTTCGGCAGTCACTGCAGCACGAATTTGATCCCTGGCCAGAGAGCTAACCCACAGGGCACAGCAGACCTCTCCTGTCTCGCCCGCTGCTCCACTCAGCAGTGTATTTCAGTAGATCTGTCTGTTCTGCTTCCAACTCTGTCTCTGGGAATGCTTTCACCACCCCGCACCCCCAGTCTATACCTCAGTTCTTGTATGCATAAATAAATAAATCTTTTAAAAAAATCAGTGAAAAATTTCATTTAAAGACAAGTATGCCTTTGAGCCGCATCCTCCCCTCAATCCTACATATACTTTAAAAAACTACCATGTCGGGCCTCCCTGGTGGCGCAGTGGTTGAGCGCTGGTTGCGAAGCTGCCCGCAGCCTCTGCAGCGCCGGTTCGATCCCTGGCTGTTCCCCAGCCACTGGAGGAGGGTCCCACATGCCACGCAGACCTTTCCTGCCGCCCGCTGCTCCCCTCAGCAGTGTACTTCGGTCCTCCTGCCTGCTCTGCTCCCCGCTCTGGCTCTGGTGAATTCTCTCACCCTCCCGCACTTCTGACTGTACCCAGTGCTTGTATAAATAATAAAAATAAATCTTTAAAAAAAAACAAACTACCATGTCACTTGTTTCCTGTATTTAATTCTCCTTTCCACATGGCAGCTACATGACAAGAAAACAGGTTTTCCAGTTTAGCATTCCATTAAAATGCACCCACACTACAGATCTCAGCAGCCTAATCTCCAGGAAAGGCAATTTTTCCTTATTTATGACTTCCCATAACAGATAAACCACAGAGCTGGGACATATCCTGGAGAGTTCTCAGATGTTGTCAAGACTGACATTTTGCATTTAAAAACAACATGTGAGTTTATCACTATCTATTCCCCCAAAACAAATGACTATGATAGATCAGTGATAGATCTCACATGAGCCATGAATTTATTGGAAAGTAGGCCCTGACGGGACGGACAGTGACAGAGGGGACAACTTTCTAAAGAAAGTAATCTTAAATATTGGCCCTTGTCCCTCACATGAAATGGAGTTTCTCTCGTTAGTTCTTCACATTTTACAGTTTACTAACAACTCTTCCCTCTGATCTCATTTACTCAGACAAAAAACTAGGTATATTCCTAGAGATTGAAATTGGATGAAAGAAATTTTGTAGTGCTAGAGCAAAACTATGAAAGCATTTACTTGTTTGTTTGGATTTCTCCAGGTGAATAGTGTGCAAACATAACTATCATTTGGCACATGAATAATCATCTCTATTAATGGTGGACTCTGCTTGAAATGCACAGATTGCCCCTGTTGCACTCAAAGTTGGTACCTTGGAGAGCAGAACTGAAAAGTTGGCTTATTGTTCATACCAGCACTAAAAAGAACCCTTATGGGACTTGGAACTGATAATCTTTTCTCAGAGTCAAAAGTGAGCCCTGGAGTTAGGTGAGGCGCCTTGCTTTTCATCACAGCCCCACCTCTTTCTAGATGAACACCTCTAAACAGGAGATATATGTATTGGCATTGTATTGATCCAGGCTGAGGGAGAGGTGGGAAAGACTTAACTAGTTAAAAAGCAGTTTCAGGGCATTGATAAAGAGACACAGGAGGCAAGGAAGATAAAAGTCTGGCTCTGCCTAGGGGCCAAGCCTCTGTAAGCAGGATATAGACAAGAGCTGAATTAAGCCAATCTGAGACACTTTGTAGGTGAGATCTCCAAAGCCTTCTCAGATTATGCATCTGTCACTGAAGGTTTTAAAGGGGAAGCAGGTCCACTGTTCCAAAGAGAGTTCCAGGTTCCAGACACCATCTCTCTCATACTCATCTTCTGAACCTTCCCTCGCAGTACCTATCCTTTCCTCTTTTACTGTCGATTGAATTGTACGCTTATATTGTTGCCATGTGAATTTCCCCCAATAAAATCACAATTATATTGTGATTATATGAGTAGCCTGATTGTGAGCGAAACCTCTTCTTTTGGTGGAAGCCAGCATCTTTGAGATCTGAAACTCTCCCCAACAGCAGGTTACTTAGTTTCTTTGAGGCCTTACTTTTCTATAAAATGAGATATATAAATCTTATTGTCAGATTGTTGTGTGCATTGATTATAAAAATGCACTTAAATTTTCCACTATTGTGTCTGACATATAGCCTGCTTTCAATAAACATAATTTTTACAATTAAAAATTCCTGAAACCTTGCAGTGCCGGTGCTGGAGTGTGCCTATTGGTGTCCCTGAGGGTTACTGGAATGATAAGAAGATTCCACCATCTTTAGGAGATGGGGCTTCAGAAAGAGCCTTATGGGCTCTGCTTAATGAGACACTCAATCAGTTTTCCTCTTGTAGAAGTCAGACAAACTGATGGGCTGACTCTCTGATCTATTTTCAAAGACTGCTCCCTTGCTGGCAAGTGCTCTATTTACAAGAAGGATGGTTTGCCTTTCAGACATATTGCCTACTTTCAGCAGTGTGTGCTTCTCATGGTGTCTCATTTTTAAGTTTCGTATTCCTGCCAGAATGCCAAAGCTGATCACTGCCTTGGAAAAATGAAGATAGATGAGTATACACTGTTTCACACTTCATATTTCTTTTACAGCCTTAGATGGGTGTCAGATGAATATGAAGACATACTGTTTATCAAGTTCTCCACTTACTCTTAACTCTCCCCTCAAAAACCCATACTTTTTGTTACCATCGTGGTTCATTAGGTCATGAAGAGACTCAGTACTATAAATAGCCCACCTGTTACCGCCACTAGCTATAACCAGTTTCCTTTTTCCATTATTCTTTCTATTATAGACAAGCCATTTTACTCTTTGTACTTAATGTTTTGTGAAATCTGAAACTGTCTTCTGCATTTTAGAAAACATATGTGTACATGGCTGATTTTGTTATAGGACAGGGAGAGGGCAGCCCAAGCCCGCAAACCTGCCTATTCTAAATGGGTTCTGCCATCCGCCGCATCAACACAAAACACATGAGACTTTAATGGGAGGAACTTTAATAAAACTAGGAAACAATACAGGAAAGGCAAAGAGTTTCTAAATGAAGCATTTAGTTTCTAAATGAAGCACCCAAAGTTACCCGTCCCCTCGTGGGTAAAAGTCCATCCATAGGGGTCGGCCCAGAGCAAGGCCCCAAAGCCTGCCACAAGTCTAAACATCTTCCAGTGGGGACCCACAGAAAAGGGTCACAAACAACCAGACAAGCCCAGAGGAAAAGAGCAAATCAACATCCAGATAAAAGCTGCCATGGTCACCTCCCACGGGTCTCACCCACATCTGTGTCACCCAGTCCACGACCAAAAGACAAGCTCAGTTTCTTCACGTGTCTCTAGGCTCCACGCGCCTCCTCCAGGTCTCCTGGCTCCATCCTGCTTCCTTCCTTCCTCAGTCTCTTCTGCAGCTTCTCCTCTTCCTGCTCAGCTCCACCCTTCCTTGGGTGGGGCAGGGAACCTGGAACCTCCCCCTTTCCTGGGACCACCCTGTTACAATTTACAAGCTCTGGTTTGTGGCAGGGAAGTTTTACCTCTGTCCACCAGTTACCAGATTTTTAGGAGGTCTGTAGAGTATTCTGTCTACTGATAGCAGAGGGAACTTGATTAAAATAGGTCATTCTTCTTACTGGCTGTGTGCAGGCAGAGTGAGTAAAATGGTGCTTACATGGAACCCCCTAGATTTCTTCCGGGGAGCATGCCTTATTCCTTTGTTTGAGTAGTGTCCCTACCAGAGCCCCTCATACTGAAAGGAACCGCTAATCAAATGAAATCTTTCCTGTTTCCTGCTAAAGAGTCACAGGTTAGGTGCAGTTAATATGCAAAGTAAATGTAAACAACAAGTTTTGCCTCTCTAAAGCTGATCTAGATGAGATTACCTAAAGGAGGTCACATTTTAACAGGGCCATACAGCCTCCAGGTTGATTGATCTCCCAGGGCATCTTTGAATACCTGTCTTTTGTCACAAACTTTTGTGCTTACTGACCAATGTTATCAATGTAATCTAGTTATGTATAAAAGAAACCCTTTGTCCCTAGACTGGTGCTCACACCTTAAGGGGCTAGCCAGGTCTGGGACCTCATGCATGAATAATAAAGCTCCTCCAGACTTCACAATTCCTGAAATACTGCTTATTCTTCCCTGCCTGGATAAAAGGCTAGAATTTATTTCTGCAACAATACAGTGTGGTTTCCCTGCTGTCATCCATCTCTTTTTGACCTTATGTAGGTCAGGCGAGGCTCCAGTTTAGCCTGGAGGCTGCACTTGAGGAGATACCACCAAGAGGCAGAAAAACTAGAAATGGTTTTCATGTAAGCTCCAAATCTCTCCTCCTGCATATCCAGGAGCATATTCCATGAGAGACCAGAGAAAAGCACAACTCAGGAAGTCTGCCATTTTCCATATATAGTATTAACAGTCCTGCCTCCAAGTTCTTGCCCTTTCCATTTCTGTCCACTCAAATTTTAACTTCAAGGCAAAATTTAAATACCACCTCCTCCTGGAAGCTTTCCTAGATTTGTTTTCCTCCAGTTGGAAGAAACCTCTTTAGAACATCTACATGCAACTTTCACTGTCTCCTTAACTGTTATATGAACTTACTGCATTCTGCCCTATTAGAAAATAAGCTCTTTCAGAGCAGGGTCTCCTCATGTGGCAAATGCTATAGAAAGGCTCTGGAGTCAGACACATCTGAATTAAAATCTTTGTTTCACTTACAAACATTGGATAAATAATAACAAGTTAGTGGACACCATAATTTTTTTATGTGAAAAGGGGAGATAATAGTGCTCATATTATAGTTCTGTTGTGAGAACTGAAATATACATGTCCAGTGCTTAGAACAGAGCAGACATTTTATAATTTTAGGTATCACTACTACATCAACACAAGAAAGTACATTTGGGAAAGTTTCTGTAGATGAAATCAAGGGTCAAAACAGAGTTTTTAGATAACTTGACCACCTCTTTCCTTGAGCCTCCTACCTTATCCTAGAAAAATGAATGTTGAAAAAAAAATGAGTTTGTGATAATGTTTATAACCAATTACTATGGTAAGATTGTATGGTCCCATTATAAATAGAGTACTTTTTGGATGTTGGTATGCTAATCTACCTAGTTACATTTTTTTAAAAGATTTATTTATTTATGCATACAAAAACTGGGGTACAGGCCAGAGATTGCAGGGGTGTGAGAGGATTCATCAGAGACAGAGTGGGGAACAGAACAGACAGACTGACTGAAATACACTGCTGAGGGGAGCAGCGGGTGAGACAGGAGAGGTCTGCTCTGCCATGTGGGTTTCCTTCTGGCTGGCCAGGGATTGAACCCTCACTGCAGAGGCTGCAGATTGCTTCATAGTGCTGTGCTTAACCCTTTGTGCCACCAGGGAGGCCCTACCTAGTTACATCTTAAGACGAGTTACCTTCCAGATCCCAACTATCTGGCACCTGTAGCCTCCTGAACAAACTCCCTGGCTTAACTTAATGGAGAGTCTTATGTGTTTTTCTCCCTCCTCTGCCTAATAACAACCTTAATTCTCTAATCTTCCACCTGTTTACTCCTTTGCTTATTTGAATGCCCATAGGATTACTTCATGAATATCCACCTTGTCCTAAATATGCCTACCCAATAGAAGTTGTCTTCTTTATTCTCTCTTAAATGATTTCATAAATAACTACATGGAAGTTAGTATGTCTCTTACTTGCATTCTGTGCTTTCCTGAAGAGTAAATTTTGTTTTTGCCAAGCCTTTAAAGAAATATTGCTTCCATTTTGGAAAAAGGATATGAACAGTGCAAGAGTTAGTTTATTTCAGCTTTGGCACACCACTGATTGTGAATTATATTGTTAGGGGGAAAAGGATGTCCTAAAGCTAATTCCATACAGGCTTTGTGGACTCCACCCCCACCACAGGCCAAAGCCAAAGACACTGGGAACTCCAATCCCATCACCACCAAAGGGAAGGTGGCTGGGACCTGAGGGTGGGGTTAAGCAACCAGGTTGATATAAAGGCAGACACGTGGGCTTTGGGAGCCCCCCATTTTGGCTCTCTGCCAGCTCGCAGCGTCCTGCCAGCTCTGAGAGTGCCTTTGGGTTTCCAGGTCGGCGGATCGGGTAGGACACATTAAAGACTTTATTCCCTATTTTCTCCCTGAGCTGTACATTTCCCTTATTTCCTTTTCCCTTGTAAATAAACCTTTATTAACCTTTTGTGTGTGTCTGTAGTGGAGTATTAAGTCCCTTTTAAGTGCGCGGGTGAGACCCACAGCCAGGAACCCGTTCAAAATCGGGGCTGCTCTATAACAATATGACACATCAGATTATTTCACACAGATTATCAAACAAATTTAAAAATAATGTAGAATATACAGCTATCTTTCACCTATACGGCTTCAAAATGTCAAATGCAAATTAAGAAAACAGTTTGCGCAACTCACCTTTCTAGGTCCTGTGCTCTTTAACTCAAACACATCCATGGTATAATTGACCCTACGTCCATAGTGGTCAAACTGAACATTTCCTGTGAGTCCTTGAATTCGAACCTATGAAAGAAAAAGATACCAATACACATGCTCATTTTCCATTTCACTGATAGAAATCTCCACTTCATCTGCTAGGCTGAAGTATAAGCAACTATTAAGTATAAGCAACTCACTGAGAATCAATGGTTATTTATGCTCGAGGGATAAGCAGGAATATCAAAGGAATATAAAAGCCATTCTGCTATACACCTAGAAAATGAATATATACATTTCGTGTATATATATATCTATATAATATGTATACATATATGGTAAAGTTCCCATTGCAGCTAACAGAATATTTCCTCCAAATTGAAGTATTTTTATAGGAATGGAAATACGGTCTGTTTATAGATACTTTTAAGTTTTGTCTATATCTACTTGATGAACTAAATAACCATGTAAACTTCATAGGTATTTTCTCCTTGCTGATACTAAAATTAAGATATAAGAAGTTCAAAATATATATATTTGAAAATATTCAAATGTACTTTATTCCAAATTTCCTTTTAATTTTTAACCCATTGCATTCCAAAGCACTTTAAAAGACTAAAGTAGACAAATTACTTACTCCAAGGTTACAGGGCAATATCTACTAAAATTATCATTAGTAGTGTTTGCCGAATATTTCTGGCTCTTGGCTATTCTGGACCCAGGTAGGCTTGCACTTCCCAAAACCTTGTGTCTTGTGATGCCTATGTGACTCTTTCTGACAGATGTGTTGAGAACAGATGTGATGAGTGTCACTTGCAGGTCTGAACATTACCAGGCAGTTTCAAACTTCCCTGTCACTCTATTTCCCTTGGTAGGACTAGGATGGTAGCTGTTCTGTTAGCTTGGGTCCCTGGTCACAAGAGCAGAGTGCGCCTCCTAGTCCAGTGTATGTGAGGGAAAATACTCCTTCATTGTTTTAAGCCACAGGACTTGGGGTGCTCATTACTGTGGCATAACCTAGTTCATCCTGACTATGCATCTACATAATATACAAACACACCAGTATTCTACCCAGTATCCTATTTAGAAATATCTCAAAAATTATATTGGCTTGATATCTTAAAATGCAATTTGCAAGATGCATTTATCTCTTTATTTTTTCTTGAACAAGATGGTGAAATAATTGTGCTTGCATAAATTTGTGAGTTACCTGTTTGAGTGTCCTCTCCATGTCAATTCCCTGTCCCCATGGAGCAGCAGGATTTGCCAGACAATCTCCAGCATTTCCTCTCCTTGAAATATCAATTTTCTGCCTTCTAAGATTTCGGAATGTTTCAGCCATCACAAGGACTCCATCATAAGTCAAAGCAGATGTGTACTAACAAAATGAAGGGGATTATAATTGTAAATGTTAAAATCTTATCATTCACTTGAATAGTCTGGGAGCTCTATGGGTTTATGACAAAGCATTAGCCACTCAGAAGTCAGCTAAATTAATAGACTCATTTTAAAAATTTCTGTTATCACTGACTGGAAAACTGTATATCAAATCTTACACTCTGATTTAAAAAGAGAAAACACACCTTGAAAAATAGAAATTCAAATGTGAAGTTTCCCATCAGTTGGGAGAAGCAAGCCCTCTATGTGAGGTGTTTTTGTTGTCCAAATAGAAGCAACTAATGTGTGGAGAGCTAAGTGCAGTAATGCTGCCATCTGCCTCGATGGTGGAATCCCAGCAGGGCGGGAATGTTTTACTCTTTCCTCCTTCACAATGCTTAGTAGTGCCTAGAGGTGCTTCCTCTCTGAGACTTCATCTATGGTTATTGACTTGAAATGTGTGGCTTTTTTCAGTACTTCAGAAGAATGAGTGTGATTGTTTTTATTTTTGGAAATAGTATGCTGTGAGTGTGCACAGGAAGGTTAAGTAATTTGTGTACATTTCCACTTAACCTAGGATCACAAAGAAGAAGAGAAAGGAAGTGTATACCATCTACTTTCTGGTGACCAGCCTCTGCTTCTTTTTGAGAAAAGATAACCTCAGGAAAAGGTGACTAAGGTTTAGAGAAGAAATATGGAAAACTAAGAGAAAAGGGTAATTTCTTTAAGTGCAAAATGCAAAGAGTAAGAGAAAACTTTTGGTAGAGTTTGATTAGAGAATTCCTAAACACTTGAAAAATATGGCACAATTTCTTGACACATGGCAGAGCCACATCTATTAATCGTGGGTAAAAACACACTACACTATCTCTTTCAGGAATCCCTTATGATGAATTCTACATGATTAATGCATTTGGCCTATATTAGGAACAGTTTTGTGCTGTGGAGTGCGGAGGATGATCGCCTTATTTGCCGCTGGTAAATGAAGAAAATTGCTTGAAATTTGCATTCTAGAGAGTAAACTTAGACAACCATTATAATGCTATTACCATTATACATAGCAGCCAGCATTCCAGGAAAGAGAAATACCAAAAAATGGGTAAGATAAAGATTCTAAATTCTAACAAGAACATTTCAATGGTTGAGGAGCTAAATGAAAAGCCTTTGTCAGAAAGCCTTAGGAGTTAAGTAAATTAGAGGTCTTGCTATATATATATTCTTCAAGGACATGATAGAATAGACTGAAGAATAGCTACACACCCTCAGAAGTGGTGGCTGAAGGAAATTAAGGTTACAGAGGTGCTAAACCAATGTACCTCCTCTCCTCTCTGGATCAAGCCATCGCTGAGTAGAGGAAGCCAACAAATCATTTTTGTAAGACAAGAAAATAAACACAAGAATCAACTGGCACTTACTAAAGATATGAAGAGCCAGGGAAAATGTGTTTTAAGATCTAGGGAGAACAAAAGAAAAATATTGTTGCTTTTCCAATAGGGGGTAAAAAAACTGAGAAGAGATGGCACCAAAAAGTGAGGAAACACACTTGCTGTATTTTAAAAGGCCACCCATTATATAGAAAACAAACAAACTAGAAAAAAGAATAGACACTACACAGTGGAGCAGATCAAAGGAGACAAGTGGCAAAGCCACTGGCATTCATTGTGCTGAGAGTGAACGAAGCAGTAGGTTTAACTGGCCTCACCTTTTCAAGGGATGCAATTCTTTTCCATATCTTTTATATTGCTAAAGTTCAAGAAACACTTAGGAACTCAAACTTCAATATGGCATCTAGAGAACTGATATAAATAAACACCTTCTTCTAGGGCAGGGTAAAAACCAGATCTTGCCTCAATTATTGACTGCTTGACCAATGATGAATGATGGACTGAGTTTTTTTTTTTTTTTTTTTTTTTTTAAACCAAGGAGCCACACCACACTGTTGAGAAGT